ATCATCAATGATTTTTGCCCACCAAGCCTATCTAAAAGGAATATGACTGTCTCAAATAAGAAATAACCTGATCATAGTCAATAATGTCAGACATTCCATTTGAGCTGAAACTGATGAGTGAGTGAACGGTCGGTACCCACTGCGCAATGTGACGTCGGAGTGGCGTCTTTTCTATGTAATTTTTGGATGTCCAATTTCGGTCCACTGAAGGGGTTGTTTTGTAACGCCAGACGATGTCTTTTTTCGATGTCTACAGCACGTCTAATGTTGATGTTTGTAGGACCTCCGTGTAAGGGTTATTTATAGTCCAAATGTGGTCGTTTGTGGACGTCTTTTCAACATCAAATTTAGTTTTTATACAATTTCTATAACTGTAGTCCCATGTTTCAAAAGGGTGGAGGACATGTTTTCTGTAGGCTACCATGTATTTACATTTATGCATTCGGCAGACACTTTTATCCAAAGTGACTTACATTGGATTACACTCCTATAAGTTCTTGCTTTCTCTGGGAATCGAACCCATGATCTTGGTGTTGCTAGCGCCAACGCTCTACTGTTTGAGCTAAAGCATTATAGGTTTGTATGCATCTCGCTGTACACTGCTGACACCAATCGTGCCGCACAAGCCCTCAAAAGTGAAGCCAAAACGTCTCGATCGCCCCCCAGTGACCGGTCCTAGTAGGTCATAAACCCCGCCTCCCCATGTTATTCAACGGCACGTGAGACCAACTAAACAATTAAATTACACTTGACATATCCTTTTTCCAAAGATAGTTTCTGCCATTTACTGTAGTTTCCATCACGTTGATGTAATTTCAAGTGTTTGTTTTTAAAATAAGTTTGTTTTTAGTTAGTTATTTGATGCTATAAAAACGGTGCTGTGACATCATGATTGACAGCTGTGATTGACAGGTTCTCTGTGCGAAGTAGTCATTGAAGCACCAACGGACTTTTTTTCATAATGTTGACTATGTGGTTAGTAGTTGTATTTACCTTATTTTAACGAGGTATATACTGCAATCAGCAGACATCATTGGAGAGGAACGGAGCAGACAGAGGCCACTTAAGGAGTCATAACCTGTAATTTTCCCTTTTCCACGAGAATCAATGTATGTTATGATTGCCTAACGATTATACAATGGCCGGGAAGCCGATATTCAAAAGTGAAGCGTTTGTTTACCCCAGGGTTCGTAAACCAGCCCACGTGCACGCGCACTCAAATACGAGATTTTAATTTCTCCCCCGACTTGATGTCAAGACGGGGCAGGATATACCATATATGGACACCGCAGACATATGCTGCAGGAAGCCCGCCCTGCCCATCTCCCCTCATTTTCAGTCAAGAAAGATGCAGAAATGTAGTGCACACGTGAGTTGCTCTGTGGTTGACTGCCAGAATCAACATTCAAATGTGTTTTCTCTACCAAAAACGGACCAAACTACCAGGGACCAGTGGATGAAATTCATTTTAATGACGCTGTTCCAACAACCCTATCAACTGGCTCAACGTTAGGTGTCTGCGCTAAGCATTTTACACAGGAATCATCATGTTACATGTCTGTAGATGAAAAATATTGAATGTCTAAAAAAACCACAACGTGAAACAAGGCAAAAACAACACATAATAGCAAACGTTGATCTCTATAACCACTGTAAGCTGATAAAAAAGTAGACTACATCTCCGTTAATGTAATCTACATTAAATAAAAGGTAAACTTATGTGGGAGAAAATAGCAACAAACGTTTTAGCTCGTTACTGATGTTAATGTATGTCTCAGTCAAAATGATTGTCTTTACCATTCAGAGACATGTTGATGTAGACGTCCTTCCATTGACTCTATATCTTCCGTTTCCAGCTCTGGTTCAGAGTCTGGCTCAAACATTGAATTCCGTAGGTCGCGGCCAGGTCGGGTTCATTCACAACTTGCGCCATGATGTCATTTTTGAATGATATGCTGAAGTTACCTGCGGTGTCAAGCCCTCTCCTTCCTGCCACCAATCAACGCGCCCCTCATTTGCATTATTAAAATGACCGTTCACGACAGCCAAAATATCGCATCAGATCTCGCGAGACAATAATGCATTCAGAAATAAGGGTCAGAGGAGCTCTGTGTTTTCCTTTTTTTCCACTTTTCTTTTTTAGAAGGGCCTGAAAGACTATAATAGAGCGTGGGTATCCAAGGTAATACTAGGTTATGACTCCTTTAAGAAAAGTGCAGGGGCGTGTGCTTGCGATTGATTCGGCGAGAGTGAGGGCGGGGCCTTGATTTCGCGGCTTTACTTCCTGCTCACGACTGCGCAGGTCTGGTCCCAAGATGTCAGATGTCCCCATATCGGGACACTGGCGGCTTCAGTTCTCTCCGATGGAAAAGAGCGAAGGGGCGTCGTCCATCTTTTTTTACAGTCTATGGCTGAGACAATCAAATCAAACAAGTTTTTTTTTTTTTTAAATGATCTTAAATAATTATAAATAATCTGTATTTATATGAATTAATCCTGTTGATAACAACAATGCTGATATTTGTAAATAAAAAAATATTACATATTAATCATGTAAATTTCCTGCACCTGTCATAGACGTCTAAATGACGTCCAAAAAAATGACCCAGTTCAAAGGTCAAATGTTGAACGTCAAAATGACGTCCAAGTTGGGTCATGGTTGGACATCCAAAAAGTGGACCTAGTTTGGACGTCGAATAGATGTCCAGAATTGGTCATGGACCGACGGACCCAATCTCATGATCTGCACGTCTATCCGACCTCCAATGTTTAGTGGGTAAACTGCCGCGTTTTTCTAGCTGGTTATTGAACTCAACCAAACGCTTCTTATTTGAGATTAATCAGATATAGACAACATAAAAGTAATCTTACAACTTACATCTGCACCAAAAGACGCGAATGCGCACATGAACTTGACCGTGCTAGTCTGATGTTGTGGACAGCGCGTTGAAAAACGAAAGCACAGAAAATTGACAACATTCATGATCGATCGTCGCTGTCACGAGTACTCGAGTACCCGTGCCCCTAGCTGTAATATATTTTCTGGTCTTTATTCTAACGAATTACTAATTGAAGCACCATATTTTTAGTCAACATATTTATGTATAGTGTTTTACTAGTTATCTTGCAATCATTCAAAATGTGCTTTGAATCGAAACAATTGTAAGGCTGTCTGAAACTGTTAAAAAATGGTGACAGAAGCTTGAGTGTCACCTCGTTTTTCCTTTCTTAACACTTTTTTTTAATGCTTGATTTCACTTCATATCCCCAAACTATGTTTGAGACCAATTGTTTTAATCTATATTTGCCAATCCATGTCGTATTAGGCACCTTTAGGTAGATGCTTTTCAGTGAGAGAACAGTCTTGGCGTCCTTCTGACAGTTTTAAATTGTATCCAAATTGTGTACACAAACTTTGAATTAACCCAAGCAAATTATCTTGGCTCACCTGCTAATTAGGCTTTAAATACAGTTTAGGATGAACATATGCTAATTTCAGAGAAAAAGAGGAGCGCTTCAACTGATCCAGCAGAGATGGAAAAGTTTAACACGTTCTCTCTTTTATTAGTCATTAATGGATTTACAAGTTATTTAGTATATTCGTTCTGCTCTATTGCTACATCTAGGACTTCTGCCTGTCTGTGGAGCTTTCCTTTTTATATATTTATTTTATATCGTAATATTGTAATATAATGGATATTTGATGTTAATATGTCGTAAACATTGCCATACCATGACCAAATGATTCAAGTAGTGTCAATTTGTCAATCTATAAATAATATAATTTACCTATTATCTTTCATAACATGATCATAATTATCATGGTTGATAATTTTTTTAGAATCATGCTTTTTTCTTTAATCTGCTTTAATCATATAATGGCTTCAATTCATACTATTCTGTTATGTTATTCTACAGAATAATATTTGATTTTTAGTCAGTTTGAACAAAGGTTCACTAGAAGTTTCACTATCATTTTCTGTTCACAATGAGCAATTTTGCTAAACATTTTGTTTGACAGAGACACAAAGAATTGCTGGTTTACTCCCATCTGATTCTTCCAAATGGCTAGGTGTGAAATCCTGCTTGTTTCCAAGAGAAAGACAATGTCTGCAAATGAATGCATTTTTTTTTTTTTTTTTTTTTTTGTTAGCACTTTTGAAAATACATTTTGGGATTCCAACTTGAGTTAATCAGTCTGGGTGTAGCACAATGTTCAGTGAATCTTTTGTGCTTTTTTTTCTCCGATTTTTTTCTTCTTCTCTGTCTTTACTCTTTATCTTTCTCACTCTTTCTTTCTCTCTCCCCTTTTTTATTGCTGCCAAAAAGAATAATGTTTTAGTCCCACAGGAAAATATTATTAGAGTAAAGTTTTACTCCCACCTTTCTTTCCTGACATTTTGCATTACTCTTCTCAAGATCTGGTTCGCCTGAAACAAAACAAACTGATTCCACTATATTAACTCAATATTCATGAGATGATTTGATTTATTATAGGTGATTACATTAAAAGAATAAAAAAACAAAGATAACTTTCTGTATACACAAGCTGTAGAACAAGTAGAAATCCCCAAACTCAATCTATATTCATTAGGAAAAACCTTTAAATAAACCATGAAATACTTTGTTGCACAATGTTATATAAGCCTCTTCCTGCTGTGCTGTATAGTGTCTGCCTTAAGCACCAATAACATTTGTCTGCCACCAGCTGTCACAAATCGCCAGCTCTCTTTCTCTCAGACTAGCGCTGTGACGCAAAATCAATGGAGCCTCTTGGGTCCTTCCATCACCCCAAATATCTGCAGTGAACTGCTGGTTGAAGGCATTCAATAAACGAGTCCAGTTGCCTTAAGATGGGATTGCAGAATAGGGCGTGGAGACAAATGATCCTTTGCTTTAGAGCATGTAAGAGCATGCAAGTTGCTAGGTCGGGTTTAGAGCTCTTACTGTCTGATAGATGGATGAGTGATGTCTTTCCTGTCTTCTCCATTATTTGGCAGTCATTGACAGCCGGATGCTGATGGAAGGACTGCAGAGATTTGGTGCCATCCCGACGTATCTTCCGGTCCGATATCAGGTGTTAAATGCAGAGTCTGCCTTCTTCCTGAAAGAAGCCAACCAGGACATCATGAGGAACTCCAGCCTCCAGGTTCGTACAGAACTTTTCTTTATCCAACAAGCCAGAAAGACGCCGTCGGTCAATGCCAGTTACGGACCGTTGTATGTGGAACAGCCCGTGCCCATGGAGCTTCTGGGCCCGGGACTCTTCAACAGCCCTTCATCCACATCCCCATTATCCACTTCCTCTCCACTCTTTAGTTTTAATTGGAAAGTACAGACTTTCATTATCAGTGAGCGAATCCATCCCAGTTGGCCAAAGGTTCAGGTTCTCTTCTACTTAGTAGGCCGGGACTGGGACGACTACAGTGCCATGGACAAATTGCCGTGTGTCAGGATGTTTGCCTTCCATGAAACCCAAGAGGTACGAGGCACCTGTCATCTGAAAGGGGAACTCGGACTGTGTGTGGCTGAACTGGAGCCACTGCCTAGCTGGTTCAGTCCCCCTAGTGTCATACCAGGTCGACAGAGATCTCCTGAGCTGGTTGAAGGCACTCCCGTGGAGCTGTATTACATGCTACAATCCACTGACACTGGGGAATGCAGCTCTGAGGACTCCCGCAAGACCAATTCCATCCGCACTGGCCAACTGGGACCGGCCGGTTACTTCTCAGGGCCCACACCCATGCGCAGGATCGGCAGTGTACGGCTGTTCCAGCCACTCTCTGAGCTGCGTTTGGACAGTAACTTTGTGGTGATGGTTCCCTCAAGACCCATCCGGCAGAGGGAGACGGTGTCAGGCTTCCTCGCTGTCTCCACCCTTTCGTCAGTAGAGATCTTCACTTTAAGGTGAGTGACCCCTGCTAGAAATGCTTTTAAATTATTATTATTTTTTTTACTTTGATAGCTTTGTTGACTTTGATAATTGATAGCTGGACTTGACAGCCATTGATCACCATGTAGTATTTTATGGAAAAGAACAGATCTGACATTTTGATAATTACACAATATCTCTCTAAATGCAAAAAACCCAAAACAAAACTCTTTGACGACCATTTCTTGCTTCCAACTGTTAACTCCTTAATACTATTTGTGGCATTTAAAATATTTTTACCTGGAAAATTTTGCCTGGAATTTAATGATTAAAATTATTATTTTTTTCGGGTTGTATTTAAAATCCACTTGTCTTAAATCCACTTTGGTTTGAGTGGACATGCTGCTTCTGTGGCAGGATGAATAAATTGTCAATTTTAGTTTCTGTATGGCTCTTGAATTTTGATGATTTCATGCTCTCAAAATTCATTGTGGTTGGCACAAACCATGTTTATCATCACTGCATGTGATCCTGTATGTCCCCAAATTCCTGGAAATATCAAATAATTTCAAAAGTGCAATTTCTCAGCCTGGAAAAGTCACACAAATGAATAGTCTTAAAATGGAAATTACTATAGTCTACTTACATTTTTTTCTAGTTATTCTTAGTTCTAAAGTACTTCTTGGGCTAGAAAGTACTCTTTTTAACTATGTTCTCTATAAGATGATTTTTAAAAAGCTTTGACCATTCATCTTCACAAATGACTGAAAGTCATTAAAAGGAAATTCATTGGTTGGAAAGTATGGGACTGTAAATGATGTATGCAATGTATTTTCTTTTACTCTGTGTAAAGTTAATGGTTTTCAATGATGAGGGCATATCATCTCATCTGTTGATATTGGTCTTACTTCTATTTTTTTTTAAATTCAAAATACCATATAGTTTGATTGGACACAATCTTTGATGTCCAAAAAAATATGTGAGAACTGGGAAGTGTTTTCTCTTTCCTTTTAAATGTTGATAAGCTATTTTAAGTATGCATATTTAGCTGAATTTTATTATTTGCATTTAGCATTGTTTTTAACTCCTGGTGTGCACAAACTTAATAGAATAGACCTACATCCTACCCGTTGGAAGCGACTGACTCCACCTTCTAGGAGAAAATATGTCAAAGTTTAACTTGTGACATTTATTAAATGACACCTAGATAGCCTGAATAGGAATGGTGTCTCCATTCCTATTTCTCCCGGCAATTGACTGGATCCTAAAGAAGACAACAGCAGGGAAGAGAAATGGAATGTGGAAGGCGAGAGCAGGATTCCTCATGATGAAAAATGTGTGGAACTTCCGCCAGCTCACAACACACACCAAAATCCACCTCTTCAACTCCAATGTCAAGTCGGTCCTTCTTTTTGGAGCAGCAACCTGGAGAACAATAAAAGCAACCATCAGGAAAATCCAGACCTTTATCAACAGCTGTCTACGCAGAATCCTTCAGATCCGCTGGCCAGACAGAACCGCTGGGGAGATGGATAGGGCACACCTTGCGAAAACCAAGTACAAGCATCACCAGACAGGTCCTGACGTGGAATCCACAAGGCAAAAGGAAAAGGAAAAGGGGGAGACCTAAAAACACCTGGAGAAGAGACTTGGAGGCAGACACCAAAGAGAATGGGTACACCTGGAAAGAGCTGGAGAAAAGTTGTCGATGGCCTATGCTGCGGGAGGGGTGAAAGGTCTAAGCTAAGATAGCCTAAATGCAATTTAATAAATTTCCCTTGCAAAACAAGTACCAATTAACTCTCAATGAGTAGATTTAACTCTTAATTAGTAAATGCAACTGAATACAAAAGAATTAATCAAGGAAGAGCTGTGTAAACTACACAAAATGATTGTTTGAAATTAATTTTCCTTACAACCCAGTGTGAAAAAGTTAGAACATTCTTTATTGATTCATTGAGTGTTGAGCTCTAATTAGAACAAGCGGATTTGATGAAGCGACTAAAGACATTCTGTGCTAGTGAGTAAATGACCGTGAGAGAAATTAATGTTCACTCCTGTTTGTATTCTCACGCCTGATATCTAAATTATGCTTTGAGTTATACGCTGACAGCCTTGGCAAATTTGTCAACCTCGGTTAACATTAGCTTACAACCGGCCACTGTCTCATGCGTGATTAATGAACTTTAAGCGTTCCAGTCTCAATACAAACCAGTTTGCAGCTATCCAATTTATAAGTAACAATAATATGGGTGTTTACTAGATCAATGAATGAAACTTAGCATGCAGAAATAAAAACCTCAGAAATTAATTGTCTGTGATATTGACAGAAATAAAGAAGCTCCTGGCAGATGCGTTGTTTTTGGAAAAGTTCTCCAAGGGTGCTCTAATATTAGAAACAGCTGTTTCTAATAGAGTTATCAGGCCAACTTTAATTAATGCAGAAAGAAGAAGTTAAGTCCTCAATAGCAAGTCAATTTCTGATGTCTTGGGTGATGTTGTGCTGTGGGAAACTGTTCAGTAACGGTGATTCCTCTGTAGTTCTTCTTGTGTTCATACAGGGTGGTGATAAGATCCTATATAAAAGGGTTTGTTTGTTTCTTTTTTTCCCCGTTCCTCTACTTGATGCCTAAATGTCTTTGTGATGGCTCCAAGTCCCCTCAACCCCTGGAGATAGGCACAGCTCTGTTCTCAGCTTGGGCTGCACTCTGAGTTCCAACCAAGCAGTTTTTTAAATAGTGACCAGCTGAACGCTGCTGATATGGCTGTTTCTCTAGGGTCCCTGTCTGTTGATGTCTTGTGTATGTGTGTTGTGTATGTGTGTGTGTGCTGGGGGGGAGGGGGAGGTTACGATGGGCGTCGGAATACGGTTCAAACTGGCCGTGTCGCTAGTGCTGTTGGAGCCAGATCTCCTCATCTTATCATCAGCCTATAGGGATAAAAATGCTCCCTGATCAGCTTTTCCCTGCCTAACACAATCAGGGTAAAACAGAATAGCTCCTGAGAATCGCATTTAACTGCCAGACTTTCTCCAGGACGGCCTGCAAATAAATACACCATGTACAGTGAACTGGTGGATTGATATTTTCAAGTGCACCTTCCTTTTTTTGCCGCATATATGGATGAAATGGTTTACATGGGTGAACTGCTACTGCAAATAATTTGTAAATAAAAATCTATAAATAAATTATTTAATAAATAAAATAAATGAATGAAATAAGTATATTTAGGTAGCCTACATTTAGATAAATGTTCAGTCATATATAAAATGTTAAACTTATAAAATTATGATTATTATTGTCATTATAGAAATAAAAAATAATTATTAAAATTATAGTTATTATAATAAAATATAATTCATTAAAAAATTTGCAGTAGCAATTCACCCAGGAATGTAAGCCTTTTTTCCATTTCCACTTCCCACTCTTTTGTGAGAGGAATCCCGCTCTAAGCAAGAGAAAACGGCTACTATGAAAAAAAAAACCTGCTCCAGAACGGACTATTATTTTTTAACAAGATTGAGGTTTCAGATTACATGATACAGTCGTTCTTAAATTTCTAATTAACCAACATCTTTAATCTTTCCCTGAGAATAGAACTCCTGATTGTAATGTTTATTGGTGATGAACAATCTCTTAAAGTCATGGTTTTAATTCTCAGGCAAGTGTTTTGTTTTTGGAGCTTGCACTTCCTTGCTTTTTTCCTCATTAGCGGTTTGGAGAGCAGTAACATGTTGAGATGGGATTTATACCTGATTCATAATGCAAATGGAAACGCGCTTCCCTCACAAACAAATTAACAACCTCTCAAAAGATAAATAGCCCCTGCTGTATTGTAATTTTGACTAAACAATCTTACACGTTTCTGCATGTCCCAGTGGAATATATGCTAATACATGCAAATGAATAATCGTTCCTTATGGACCATTTCTTATTTTGCTGTAGCAGAGATATTTTTCCTCATCCAATTTAAGTCCAATTGCATATACACCATTCTGATGAGTACAAATGACCAAAAGTTGATTGGCTCTGTCATTTGACTGGTTCATAAACACAAATCTGTCTTGAATTTGACTGTGTCAAATAAATGAATGACGGTGAATATAATTATTGCATTTCACTTTAATAGCCTTGTGGACACATAATTTGACTTACTTTTTGAATAACCAAAAGATTTATGTTTAAATAGCTGATTGAAAGGCCGTCCATAATGCAGTTTTCACACTGTTGCACTCAAAGTACAGCAATTCTGTAGATCCATTGTCCTCTGTTTAATAATCCAATCACTGTACTTTGGCTAACTGTGAAAAATAGAAGAATACATTTATACGTATGTAAATACATTTTTGACATAATACTTTTATTCTTTAAGAGACAGTTTACCCAAATATTCTGTTATCATTTGTTCACCCTTGGGTTGTTCCAACACTTTTAGAAAAAAGGTTTGATGGGCTTCTGGGTTCTTGACTCAAAAAGGTTCTTTAAAAGTAGAAACGTCTTAAATGATTGAATAATACTTCCATGTTTTGCAGGGTTTTTTCTAGTGTTAAAGTATGGTTTTGCCAGATCATTGCGTTACCCCTATCAGCGTCTATTAGAATTGGTCAGGGTTTGTTTTCATCCGACCGAACATGTTCAATCAGCGTTTGTCAGTGTCTGTTGGGGCAGTGTGAACATGACAGTTATTTTTCATAAAATTCTAAATCCAATGGCCAACTTGTTTGTTGCTGTTGAGTTGAGTTCCGCCATAGGCGAGACGCTTTCTTGGGCTTCAAAAAAAAAAAAAGGGGGGTTTCATTCACTTCCATCATAAAGCTTGGAAGAGCCAGGATATTTTTTTAAGATAACTCTGATTGTATTTGGCTGAAGTAAGAAAGTCATATACACCTAGGATCGCTTGAGCATGAGTAAATTATGGGATCTTTTTTGGTTCAACTAACCCTTTAAAGGGGTGAAGCCAATATGACTTTCTTTTTCGTATGGAACACCAAATGTCTTCCACATAAAATGTCCAAGCTAGGAATGCACCAAAATAA